GGACAATGATGCTAACATGGGAATCAGGCCCTTTAACAAACTCACATTTACACACACACCATTGAAACCAACAGCACCAGCACAGGCCTCAACAACTTCACATATGAGATTAGACCCACTTTCACATGCTCTTCCTCTAATGTGATATATGCCATCATCAGCCAGCAATGTTTCTCTGGATTTACATAGAATAAACAGGCCATATTTGTGCAAAAGGATTAATGGACCCAAATTTGACATCAGAACTCAAAACAAGGATGAAGTAATATCAAATCATTTCAACCTCCTAGGACACTCCCAGCTATTTTGGAAAAAAGGAATTTTTAACAACACAATTGAGCAAGAGATTGTGGAACTCACATACATTGAACGGTATCTTAGAAGGTTTCAAAAAATGCAATGGGTTTTTAACAGATTACAACTGTTAATTGGCCAGTTGTTTGTAATCTCTCCCACATGTTACCTGCCTCTGCATAACCACCATGTCTTCCCCTCCCTACCCCCACCTCATCCCAATTTAAATCCTAGAGTAGTTTAGCCACTTTATACACCTGAAATGAGCTGTAGGTCATGAAAGCATATGCCTTTCATTAAAATTTGTTAGCACAAAAAGCTGCTATTAGACTCTTGATTTTGGCTACTATAGACTAACAAAGCTCTCCTCTGCCTCAATTTGGAAATATCTTGAATTTGTCTGAATCAAGCTATTTCGGTTGGGGATTCTTTGGAATCTGATGTACACCCCTATCTTCTTGCAGGTACATGCCCCTGACTAGTGTACTATAATAGCTATTGTTGCAATTTACTTGTGGTTTTGTTTTGTTCTCCCCATTCTTGCCAAAGCTTTAGATTTGACGAGTTTCCCATTTAAAAAACAACAACACATTATTTGTTAGGCAACTAAAGGAAGTGTTCTCCAAGCATCTGAACTGCCCCGAACAGGTTAAGAAATGAATTCTGCAGTTGCATAGCAACCACAATTCTAGCTTCTTTTATTTCCTGATTGGGAGAAGATAGCCATGAAGGGTGAACCCTAATCAGGGATGGGGAACTCAAGAGCTAGTCTGAAAATATTGCTTGCTGTATGCTTACTCTGAAAGATTCTCAGATTATCTCTTTCTTGAAAATCATGTTGTAGCTGAAAGCAAGAGAGTTGATTTGTTTCTTCAATCTTACCCAAATGGATGATGCTTTTCCCTCAAAGAACATCTTGAGTCAAGACTTGTTATGTCTCCCAGTTCCCGGTATCTACAAAGCCCTATGACAGACAGGAGTAAAGGAGTAAAAATTGTCTTTATGTACACCAGTGTTTCTCAACCTTGGCAACTGATGTGTGGACTTCACCTGCCAGAATTCCCCAGCCAGCAAGGCTGGTTGGGGAATTCTGGGAGTTGAAGTCCACATATCTTCAAGTTGCCAAGATTGAGAAACACTGGTATAGACTGAGCTATAGCTTGCATCTCCTAAATGAATGCTGCATTCATTATGGTGCTAGGGAGATTAATCTGCAAAATGGAACATATTTTCATGTGTCCATCTTCAAAACAGCAATCAGGAACCTAGCCATGAGTTGCAATATTGGTGAGAGAGCCAAAGCAACATTGTTTCCAGTTTTTCAACTTGTAACCAAGAGTAGATCTGACCTTTCTTTATTAGAACAGCTGTTCACTTAAACTCTGATTCTCTCAGTGATTCATTGGTTTCTAATTACATCTCTTAGAAAGAAATTTCTGGCTGTTCTTTAATTACATTTTCTTGAAAAAGTATAATAGAATCTAAATCTCTGTACAATAAGAATTATGATAATTATTATTATCAATGATATTTTAAATACTTACTGTTGGATTGGGTAAAACTGGAAATTATGAATGTGATAATAATATAGAATTTTAAGCTTTATGTTAAAAATATAATGCCATAATTCTATTTAATACAGAACATATTTTGTGTAACTAAATTATGATAGTAAGAACAGGTTGTCACTTTTGCTTAAATGTTGGAATTAATATAAACAAGGTTTCAAACAAAAATGGTGAAATTTGAAATCTTTATGAGTATAGTAAACAATGAAACACATCCAGACCTACCTGTGAAGCACAAATGTTATAGGAATTCTCCAGGATAATTAAGCTGGGGTTATTACTGTGATAAATCAGGCTAAAATCAGCAGAAAACTACGTTTATGTAGTTCTGTGTTTTTTTTTAAACCCATTCAATTGCGTCTGATTCTTGGAGACTGGCTGGACAAGTCCCTGCAGTTTTCTTGGCAAGATTTTGGAAGCGGGTTGCCATTGTCTCCTTCCTAGGGCTGAGAGAGAGGGACTGGCCCAAGGTCACCCAGCTGGCTTTGTGCCTAAGGAGGGACTAGAACTCTCAGCCTCCCGGTTTCTAGCCTGATGCCTTAACCAATACACCAAACTGGCTCTCTACACAGTTCAAAAGTATACTTTTAGTATATTTTATATATAAAATATAAATATAAAATATATAAATATAAAAAGTATATTTTTATAAAAGCATACTTTTGTGGACACACTCTCTACCACAATTCAAAAAAGACAGACACAAACTGGAGCAAATTCAGAGGATGGCTTTCAAAATGGTGAAATGATTTCCTATAGGTAATATTCCATTTTTTTCATCTAAAAAACACTTCCATGTCATACCAACAGTGGATCTTAGTGAAATGACATGGAAGTCCTTTTTAGATGAACTGTGTCAGTGTTTCTCAACCTTGGCAACTTTAAGATGTGTGGACTTCAACTCCCAGAATTCCGGAGCCAGATTCCTGGCTGGGGAATTCTGGGAGTTGAAGTCCATACATCTAAAGTTGCTAAGGTTGAGAAACATTGTTCTATGTGTTCCATGAATTGGTATGGAAAGGGGGCAGTTGTAGAGAGTAAAGAAGATTAACTTAACAGAGATATGCAGGAACTGTTGCCTAGACACAAGGAACTGAAGCATTTTTTAAGTCCAGAACAGTGAGATAACATTCAGAAATGGCTCAGACAGATGCCTCCCTAATTCATTGAACAATAAGAAAAGAAGGTACAGCAAAGTCAGAGTTGCAAGATTCTATTTTTATAGCTAATCTCACCAATCTCAATAAAAGTAGTTTATTGAGTAGTTTCCTGTGGAGCTGATTTCATGGTCTGGTCTACAGGTAGTCCTTGAGTTACGACCATTTGTTCAGTAACCATTCGAAATTACAACAGTGCTAAAAAAATGGACAAGACTGGTCCCCAAAGTTATGGCTGTTGCAATGCCCCCGTGGTCATGTAATCATGACTGGGCATTTGGCAATCTGTTTCGCACTTACAATTGGTTACCAAGCACTCTGTGATCATGTGATTGCCATTTGGAACCTTTCCTGCTGGCTTCCCACAAGCAAAGTCAGTGGGGAAGCTGGCAGGGGAGGTTGCAAGTCGCTCGGGTAAGTCTCTCCCACCCACCCCAATCTTTTTTTGCTCACTCGCAAGCACCAGCACCCTCCTTCCCCCTTCACTCGCTTGCACGCACTGCGTCCCCTTCATTTGTACGCTGCCTGGAGTTGTTCTAGTAGGTAGGTTATAAATGATCGTAGTAAATTATAATAAATAAATAAGTTAGTATGATTTGTACAATCAAGCCAAAACCAAATGAACCCTACCATATCTTAGTACAGTAACTATGTATAGGAGCAGAGTCTGCTGCTTTGATGTGCCTCTTAGTTTAGTGAAGACTAGTGGCAGTCAACAACTGAAAAGAGCTCTGGAACATTAGCAATTTGATCCCCAAAACACTTGTGTGATGGGACGGGCCCAGCAATCTGAGCAAGATCCATTAGCAACATTCCTTTGCTTGCTGTAGATTTTTCCAGTGTGGGCAGACTGGAAAAGTTGAGAAAGATAATTTCTGTGACTTTAACAATTCTCACATTTTGTAGCTGACTTTGACAACCAAATATTCTCACTTGTTCCCTGGGAAAGGCACCATTTATGATTCTGGCATGGTTTTGACTACTTTCAATAAATAAGCATTGTGGGATTTTAGGTTTGTTCAGTTTTTAATATGACATGAAATGTCAAGCTGTCCTTGATAAGCTGAGCCTGAGAACGTGTCGTCATTTTTTCCTCTTCCCTTTCATTCATGCCAGGCTTGTCATTTGATTCATCTATAATTGAGATTCCATTCCAAGCAACTTGGCAGGTTTAACATCAGCATAAAATTTGCAGATGCCTCCCCCAGGTGTGGGAAGCAGGGTTAAAACATATTTTCTTTAGACCCATTAATATAATTGACTAAAGTTTTGCCAGATAAAATCAGTGACTGTCTGAGGATTTTAGCAGGGCCTGAAGCTTTGCTGAATCTCATTGTTATGGTAAATGAAGTGCCAGTTCCACAGTGAACACACCCTGTTGGAACACACACACATACACATACACACACACACACACACACACACATACAGAGTGATGCTTTATAAAGGAATTATTTCTGACAATGATCTCATCTGAAATAACATGACCAAACAGCATAGGCCAATCATTTGCATGACTTCTAAAATCATCTAAGCTTATTTAATGGAGTTTGCTTTTTTTAAACTGGTAAAGCTCGAAATGCATATATAAACATAAGGAAAACAAACCAACAAACAAAATTTAAGCTGTAACCGTTAAAGAAATGTTGAGATCGGTGAATTAGATATTTGTGACCTGAGCTGTATTGATTGTACAGCTTGTTTAAATTGGGTTGGTTTACATATATGCATTCATTTTATACTGGAATGGTAGGCTGGAATAAAAGACTAATTTATAGGTATATTCATACAGCACAAATCTAACCATAGATTAGAGTTTCCCTCTAGATGTGGAAGGCTGAATTCTCAGCTAGCAGCAGCGCCTAACTTCTTGGCCTGGTGGACACATTTAGGATATGGAGGACATATTGTTGACACTAGTAGAAAATGGCTGTGAGGGTGGGGAATGGCCCGTTATGAGCCTTGATATGTTAGAATGCTACTTTGCTACAGCCTCCCTTTCTGCTTCTCTTTGTTATTTTGTTTTTCTGGACTGGGGTACAAGCTTAAAATCCAAATACTGGGCTGCAGCCACCCATCAACCTTCTTTCGTGTGTTTGGGGCCCAAAGGTATTCTTGTAAACAAGTCTTGCTAAAGGTTGTTGGTTTGCTTTGCAGCACATCAGTTTCTTTATCTATATGGAGACAATCTACCTATGTGGTTGCTAGGAGTTGAAACCAACCTGATGGTACATAATCAACCTATTTATATCTATATCTCCAGTATATCATCTATCTCTATATATGAAATAGGACAGGAAGCCAAGTGGATGCCCTGAATGTGGAGGGTGACCCCACGGAGGAGGCTGCCATAGAAGGAGTTTCAGTATTCTGTCCACTGCCCCTCCATCACAAAATCTTGGCTTCTTCTGTTTTGACACCATGCATTTCGACAGAAGAAAGAAAAGAGCACCTTACCTTTAAATGCTGGTGCTTTAGCTTCTCTTCTTCTACTTTAAGGCGTCTCTGAGTGATTTCTTCCTGCAGTTTCCTCTTGTCCTGAAAACAGCAAAGATGGAAGGTGTATGTGTAACAGTGTTTTTTTTTTAAAAAAAAAAGTCATATATGATTCTAGTTGATATGCACACTTTAGGTCTACTTAATGATTGCAATACCACACCGAAGCAAATCCTACTCAGCCATTTTAGATGTGTTAAAAATAGAGGGAGCCTAGTCTTCTTAAGGCTCCTAGCGTGCTAGGTACTCATGCATTCATAGGATGTAACTGCAGTGCTCGTTAACAGATGGGATTAAAGGTAATTGCACTCATCTTTAGGAATTATTTAGTATGCTAAAGATTTGCAGGCAGTTGCTTAAATTCCTGGAAGTGCTGTCTTTATTGCCTCATTATCATGGGAGAGTGGGGCAGATAGAAGGCCCTCTGGCACTTATTTGCTGACTTACTTGTAACCTAAGAACTGCATAACGAGTAACTGAAATGTTTTGCTCCTAAGAGTCCCCAGCTGCTGTTATTACCCTGTAGAGGACAATCAGACTGTTCTAGGAAAGGAAGGACAAAGGAGGGCACGTTGAAAGAAGTAATAGCCCTCAAGTGAAGAAGAGAAAGCCAAAAGGAGTGGAAGTGATGGTTTAGCTTTAATGATGGTGTTTTTGAAAAAGCTATGATGGCCTGGTTTGCATATATAACTGAAGTTTACAAACCACAATTGCTGGGCTGATACATTCTAAACTACATGATAGCTTAATGGGAAGCGCAAAGTCAGCCTTGGAACAGAGAGGGGCAGAGAGGAAGGGAGCATCAAATAAGTTTAAAAGGAGGTGAAGAAAGCTTATGTCACATACTAATATCAAATAACCAACAGTTCTGATGGAAAACCTCTGTTTTCACTCAAAGCGTGAGAATATTGCTCATGAAATGGAATTGGCAAAAGCCTTTTTACTGTACTTTGCTATGTCTCTCTCATCACAACTAAGGGCTACCACACTTTCAACCTATTTACGGCAGCAATTTTGGCTTTGCTCTTGGCCTGTGGCAAACTGTTTCTTTGACTTATTTGCTAGAAGACAGTACATTCATCTGGCACAGCAAAGATTGCAGTGTAAAATAACTCAGTCTGTGCAAATGAACTTCAGCTTTGTTTCTCAACCTTGGCAACTTGAGGATGTATGGATTGCAACTCCCAGAATTCCCCAGCTGGCTGGGGAAATCTGGGAGTTGAAGTCCATGCATCTTCAAGTTGCCAAGGTTGAGAAATACTGAACTACAGGACCCTGCTACCTATGAACAGACCCGCCACCCAGAAACAAACAAAATGGTTGCCATAAGTACGATTCGTAGCTGTGTGGTTAAAAAAAAAGTTTCACAAAGCAATGCTTAAACCAATAAGTGAGGGAGCCAAGATCAGGATCCCCTCCAAGTTTTGGTAGAGCATGATATTCATTTCCCCAGTTAGTAGCTACAACTGTGAAATTACAATAGCTATGGTAGACTTGTGCTTTGACCAGCTTGTGATTTGAATAAGAAAAAACAAAATAAAGCTGAATCCAGATAAATGTGAGGAATTGTTGATAAATTCTGTTTGATTGGAGGACATTTGATCTTCCATGGCCCTATAAGAGCAGGCTCAGGTCAGAGTGCTCAGATAAGTCTGATGGTAAGAATTGCCTTCTATCAGTTGAGTTTATTTTATTAATGTGTTGATTGAATTTATCAACTTTGTTCCTTTCTGGCTAAGACTCAGCTGGCCTCTGTGATTCATGAACTGGTTAGCTCTGACACAGATTCTTGTAATGCTCTTTATGTGGGGATGTTTTTGAAGGAAACCTGGAACCTGTAGTGAGCAGATTTCTGTTGGGTGTCTCTCACAGAGAGTGTATCAGCTGCACTGGTTTCCAGGTCACATTCAAAATGCTAGTTTTAATTTATAAATAATTTCTTTATGCCTTGAGTCCTGCCTACCTAAAGGAAATATTTCTGCAATATGTGTCAAGCCCCACACAGCTGAGGAAGATCAAGGGAGCAAAAACTACCCAAGATTTCAGTAAGGTGTTGTTGATACTAGTCTGGGGTAAATACAGAACCTTGGAAATTGTAAGAGAAATTTCCCTCCTTCAGTTATGGTGAATTTATTAAGGTAGAGTCTCTTTGAATGCTTTGAAATGCTTCTTCCCAGATTTCTTTTCAACTGGGCTAAGTTGCCATTTATGAGATAAGCTGTTAATGGTCTTGTCTGCTATCTCTTGATTGTTTTTGTCTTGTATTCTCTTCCTTTCCTTTCCCAGCATCCTTACAGTCTTTCATAATATGTTATTTATTTATTTTTATTTATATATCAAATTTGTCACTGCCCATCTCGTTGAAACGACTCTGGGTGGTTTACAAAATGGTTAGGAGCTCTATTCATCTACCAAGGACCTGTTTTACATGCATGGATAAAGCAGCTAGAGGGAGGGCCTTCTTGGTGGTGGCACCAACATTATGGATTTTTTTCCTCTCTGGCTGCTTGTAAAAGAAATGTGAAACCACACTTTCATAATCTAGCTTTCCCTTTTTGACTGGTACTTGATCATTTATGTTTGATGGCTCTTTCAGTGATATTTTATGTGATGTTATTGTTATTTACCCATCTGGTTTTATGTCACATTTTATTAACTGGTTATTTTATTGTTTAATGTTGTATTGTAAACTGCTGTAGGTTGGCTTGCCAGGAGCATGTGGATAGAGAAATGACAATAAATATGTGAATAAGTAATACTGTAATAAATAGCTAACCCTAAAAAAGAGAGAAGTTCCAAATCTTTAGTACTATATTACTGAGATACTAAATACCATGGAAGTTAGTTTTACAGAACATAGATGATAAAAAATGGGGAAGTACAATGTATCTAGCATATTTTATTCATTTCACAGAAGGAAATTATTCTTGCTGGAACTGTGCTATACAGGGGAAAAGTTCTGATGGAGAGAAGAATACAGTAGCTTGTCTTAAAATAGAAGTAAAGGAGCAGGCATTTATTAGCGTTTCAACAGTTGTGCTCTCCCAAAGAACCCTGGGAAGAGTATGCTATTGACTTAGTGACCTTTGCCTTTGCCTCGTTGAACTACCACTCCCAGGATTCCCTGAGTAGAGGAAGTGACTGTTAAATAAATTATGTCCATAGAGTAGATTCCTCTTTTGAAAACTTCAGTATTCCATTACAAGATAGACTTTCAATTATTTTCTTTTTGATAGATATTAAATACCTAGTTAAAATAAATGAAAGATTTCCTGGTGAAATTACTTTCAACGGTTTAGTTCTGTAATGTTTTTCTCTCTATATTTTGCCAAATGCAGAATAAGTCAAGCATGTATTTACTCTGATTTCAGAGAAAAATCTCCCATAGGTTAAAGATGCTTTTCTGTTCTTTACAAATGTATTGTCATCATGCTTGAAACCTTTTGCTGCCGAAAGCAGAGGACGAGATGATTCCCCCTTTGCTGTTTAATATACTGAAGTCAAGAAGATTAGCAGTTTAATCTTTAAAGTGCTTTAAGCAACCCTAATATTGTTGATAGGGTACAGTGGTGTCCAGGACAAGGTAAAAAAAAAAAAAGTCAAGATGGTGATCATGGCAGCATGAGTATACCCCATCCCTTTGTATGTGTGTGCCAACATTGGCACATTTACACCAGGGACTGTTGCAGTTGGCATCTTGACTTTTTTTGACACTCCCTGTGTGGATGCTGCTGAAAGGGTAGCATCCTTCATCACACCTGAGGCAGAAGTTGGTTTAGAGGGCATATACAAGTAGGTCCTCCAAGACAGAGGAATGTAGAGAGGCAGCCTCTGTATCTGCTGCCTCAACCAGCTCTCTCCCTTCATCTCATGGTAGATCTGGCCAGAGGGAAAATTAATTAAGCTGAAGTTGATGGCATATTTTTAATTACAGAGGGCTAGAATGTGGGTGGGTTCTATTCCTAAATCCATGTTAAATCTTTGAAGAATGTTTCTTGCAGGTAGGGGTAATACAGTAGAATGACAGTCTCTGTGCAAATGTGTTTTTAAAGTTTGTTTACTAAATACGCCTCTATTGAGCAGTTTCGGATAGTTCAGTTTATCCAGATTTCAAGAACTTCTTGCTGCCAGTCTCTGAATTACACACTTTCCTTTCTTCCTGATGATACTGTATAAACAGCTTGAGAAGATCCAATCCTTAACTGAAAGGGTCATCAGAATGAGTTTGTACTTTACAAGTGAACTCCCCAATTAACTCACTTTTCCTAGCTGAATGTACTCTATCTCTATGATATTTTAGTGAAACCCTGTTTTAACAGACTAACTGGGAGAAGGAGGTATCTGCTATTCAGGAATGTCCATTAAATACAAAAACACGTCGCCATGGTAGTTTATGCTCTTACACAAGGGACACAAATAACATCATTGGTTTCAACTTAGGTCATTTTATGCAAACATGTATTTGCATAAAAATTAATTCATTTGCATAATGATTTGTTTATGCAAATGACATAATTTCAGAAGAAATTTGGTTTGCTGTAGGCAAAGTCTTTTTTATCAAGGTGCACTGAATTGAGATTTCATTTATATTTACAAACACAGAACCGTGGATCTTCCTTTAATCCTTTTAAATGAGGTTGGCTCCTTGCTTTTGGTTATCAAATGATATGCATTCTATTGATTTCCAGGGTGCCTGAAGAACATTTTTTTCTAGGCTTCAGATGTTTCTTTTTAGAAATGCCATCCCAGAACATTTCACCTTTTCCTGGGAAACCTTTGGCCCAACTCTCGACTTTCCATACATCGTAATACAAAATAAACACACATTCACCCAGCTTTATTTCTTTTGGTGACTCTTTGAACTGAATATGGATGGTGGTATACAAATAACAATTAGAATGTCTACAATTATGTACTTCCTTTACATGCAAAATGCATCTTATGATAAAGCTGGATTTTCATACTATTTTATTATTGTGAATATGGAAAACTCTTTGGGCCACCTGTTTACAAAGAGGCTACGGCAGGCTTGCAAATGAGTTTCCAGAAGTTACTAGCCTGCCTGCTTCGTAACAATTTGCCTGATTGCTCATTTTTAACCGAGACTTTTAAGGCATAATAGTTAGGAAGGAGATGGGGAAAAACTCAGGACTCTTCCATTTCTTTTTAAAGCTTTATTGTCTTGTTATTTGGAACATTTTTTTTTTTATTCACCACAAACTACAAAAGCGTGCGCCTGTATTTGCAAACTTGGCTAGAGAGGTGAGAGTTAATCTGTTGATCAGTAAGAGGTCTTTTATTCATGGATGGAGAAGGAAAGGATGATCTACGAGTGGTTAGAAGTTACCCCCAAACTTTAAGATAGCTCCAGTTTCTGCCCTTTGGCTATGTAAGCTTGGGAAGCATTGAGAGCAATGAAACTATGCACGGGGTAAATACTTTGGAAAAGTTAGCTTATTTTGTTTTTCCTGAAGGACATTATGCCTCACTTGAAAAGTGTTCCCTTAGATCTTGATTATTATTGTGGTGCTAGCAGCCAATTAAAGCCATGTCTTTACAGAACAGGCAAAGTCTGTAGGCCCAACTTGTCAAAGCATAGGAGTGTGAGGGTCATATTAGGACAAGAGAGAAGCAGAAGACAACACATTTTGATGTTACGTTGCCTTCTCCTCTGTATCTTCTTCTAATTACAACCACACCTTTGAGGAAGCTTTCCCACATGCTTAAAATATATGAATGATTTTTAAGGAATAAAATCTCCTGACTATAGTATGAGTTGACCTGAATTTCACTTATGATGCTCTTTCAACAACCACAACCACAGAATTATCCACAAGTATTCCTGCAGCTAAGCAGGAGACTACCTACCCTAGTCATTTCAGTTCAAGCTATGGAATTGTAGAGCTCCGTCTCTTTTCTATCCTGGTGTCCTTCAAATGCAAAGTTTGTTCAAGAAATCCCTCAGTCCTAATGACAGCATCGCAGATGCCTGATATAAAACATAGTGTAACTCCAGCATCTGTCACATTCTGTGCTCTGGAGCTGTCAGCTCGGATGCCCACTGTGAAGGCAGTTGGGGTATTGAATTATGCTGATCTTCAAAGCTGCTGGGGTACACAGTCACATCAAATAGGAACAGAAACAAAGGGCTTCTGAGAGTAGAAGAATACATTAGAAGCCACGCTGAGAGTGAGAATGTATAATTTTCTTATATACATATGTTCTTACTTACTGTGATGGCCTGAAATCTTTCCTTCAGCAGTTCCTCTTCTTCCATTCTAGGAGTGAAACAAACACACAGGTTGTGAAAGCTACAAAGGAATACCAGACTCCCGTGTGGAAGAGGGTTCCCAGGCAGATGCTTTGAGCGGGATAGATCTAATTCCACCGAGGAAGGAAGCTGCCTGACTTAGCTGGAGTGTCTCCGAAGAGAGAGCAAATCTGCTCACTCAGACACATGTAGCAGGGTGTGCGGGAGAGGCAACGTCCAGAGCCCTGGCATCAGTTGACTGACAAGTTTGAACGGCAGAGCATAAACCTTTTCCTTCTGCGGCAGCTGCCAATTCTTTGTTGTAATAATACGCACGGTTTGCATGCCACAGATTAACTATTAAGTGCCCAAATATTTTCTGTCCTCTCCCCCAACCAGAACACCAGTCATATTTGCCTGTGGAATTCCTTTTGGGTTTTTGTTTTAATTGACAAACTAGAAAACATCGGGCATTTTTAACCCCTGTGTATCCTTTCGTGCTGCTTGAGAGGCCAGGAAAAGAAGGGCAAGCATTTCTCTGGCAGACTGTAAGGGTTTAAGGCTTTATCTTAATGATGCCTAGTAGGGTCCCTACAAGGTAGAACTGTTCCCAGGTTGTCAAAAGGAAGACTTGAGGCTGAGGGGGAAAAAGTATGTTGAAAGTTAAAGGGAAATTTGGACTAGAGTACACCTCTTGTTTAATTCCATCTTATCACAATAGTCTCAGGACTCATTCTCTCAGTTCTACACCCAGAGAGATACTTTCTTCTGTCTAATTCTCTCAATTGTCTAAATTGAGGATGGTAAAGTGCTGTTGAGAGTTGCGGTGGGCAGACACCTGACTACACAGAGCAGTTCTGCCATGCAGTGCAGTAGAGATTTCTGCCCATGTGCAAAGTGCATGTGACCAGCTTTGGTACTACTACCACCACCATGAGCCCACTCTTCTCAGGGGACTGCCACTGTGCAGCTGCACTTAGGGTGTCTGGTCCCTTAATTCCTTTTGTGCGCAAAGTAGAATATTAACCTCATGGAAGATTTCCACAATGTCAATATTCCCCCCATTCCCCAAAATTGTCTACCAGGCGGGGCTCTGTTTTCTCTGCTGGTCAAAGCTTGAGTGGATGAATTGGGGTGGTTCTGCAGGTTGCTGACCCCCCTTAGGTTCCTCTTCCATTTGACCTAGAATGCTTGTATAGAAGAAGGAAAACACTTGATTTGGCTGGCTCACAGCAAGATGAGGTGCTATTGTGGAGACATATCCTTGAGAAAAGGAGAGCAGCCCATCTGAGCATCAAGGCAAAGAGGGTGTAGGGATGAGCCCTTAGACTAGTGTTTCTCAACCTCAACAACTTTAAGGTGTGGACTTCAACTCCCAGGATTCCCCAGCCAGCATCTGAGGTTGCTGGCTGGGGTTGCTGAGGTTGAGAAACACGGCCTTAGATGCTACATCAGAACTCCCCAATCTGGTCCTTTCAGCCCTGTTGGATTAGAACTCTGATTAACCCTAACACTATAGATGCCCTCGGCATTATTATTCTGCCTTTGTTTAAAAGCATTTTTTTGAGGTCTGCAGTAACACTTGGGAGGTTGAGCCCATAACCATGGTTTTCCCTCAGCCAATTCCAGGCAGGCCAATGCCGTGTAAGTTAGGGATGATGATATTTACAAACACCAAGTCGGAAACAGATGCCAATTACCGTAACTGTAGTAAGTATCCTTTGATATGTTTTTTGTTATTCCAGACAAGTCAGACGTAAGTTCTACTTTTTGAATATTTTTTACTGGCTTTTAAAGTGGGAAGCTTTGGGATGGTGCTTTGAAAATGTTTTAGCTGATCTTTCCAATAAAAATGTTGCGCTGGTCAACTTAATACCATTTGACAGAAACAGCTGTATGACATAAAGCAGTGTCACCCCATCACTATTTTTACCTCCCCAATACCTCCAGAACATTTTGAATTCATCCCAGGATCTCCTTTTCTGCTGATCATAAAATACTGGTAATACATAGAGTCAATCAATGCTTCCTTCAGCTGGACAACTGCAATTGCTCAGCCTAACTATCTCATTGGTAGTTGCTATGAGAATGAAAAAGAGCAGCAAAAAATAAAAATAAAAATTGTGTGCCATCTTAAGTTCCTTGTCAGGAAGGCAAGTTTAAATGTCCCAATGAGAATACAAAAGAATAAAGTGATTTGCTCGAAGCATACATCAACTCTATGAGTGTTTTGGAAGGGCCATTTGACAAACCGTTTCTTTTAAAGCTGCCAGGGAGGCTGGTGACATTTGGGAAAGTGGGTGTTATATTGTTCCTCCTGCTAATGATTCTCAATCAAGGAGGAAAATCCAACAGGTAGAAGAGAGGGGCTCATTCTACATGTGCGCAACTGGAAGAGCAGGTTAAGCTGAAATCAAAGTCCAGAGCAGCAGCAGTAGCAGCACTCAGAGTGGCTACAGGGCAGATATTGAGTCAAGGTCAGACAAGTTTATAGATTGTAGGAACCTGCAGAGATAGGCTGAGTCCTGTCACTTGGCGTCAGTCCAACCAGGCTAAGAAAGGGCAGCACTCACTTGGCACAAGGCAGCAAGAACTCTGCTAATTGCTCTTTCTACTATTCTAATGGCGCAAGGAGCACTATCAAAATCTCCAGGCATGGCCAGTGGCTCTTGGTGTGGATAGGGGGATAGACACTATTTGTGTGTGTCTACATCAGTGTTTCTCAACCTTGGCAACTTTAAGACGTGTGGACTTCAACTTCCAGAATTCC